ACTTGATAGAGTGTGAGAAGTGGACCGTGAATGTTTTCGAGTTCTTCCTTTTTCTTCAAATTGTTCTTAACCGAAGTCGGGTAGTGGCCTCGGCCCCAGCCCCTGGTAGCTCATTTTTGTATTCTGATAAGGGACGTTGGGCCCGGTTCCCAGCCGAGTTGCTCCCTATGAATAGATTGGAGCATCGTCCTTTTGAAAATAATATATATATATATATATATATATCTTTTAGGTTCCCCCGAAGTGCTGGAGCCTAACTTGGTCGATAATCGGGTGGGTCGGCAACCTGTTGTTGATGACAGGGGAACTCAGATTGTGAGAGCGCAGAATGCGCTTCCCAAGGATGCACTTGCATCTCCTCCGTTTTGTGGACGGGTCGTTGGATGTGTACAGGTTCGTGATATGTGTTCGCAATCTCAATGCAGTGGACGTGAAAGAGATGTTTACATCACATTGCAACCACAAAATCCTTCGGGGGTTATTGTGGTGCCCGATGATAACGATGCACCCAGAATCCACACTTGAATCCGCTCGCTTACCTTGCTAGATGATTTGACGATGTGAAAAAGGTTCACATGCAAAATATCTTCACTGATATGTTTTTTGAAATGCTTGTCAAAAGTGTAACAGTCAAAAGGTTCTCTCTCTCTTATCCTCGTGTTCGTCTTCCTTTATTCTTTGCTCTTTTGTTGCTTTCCTCTCTCTCTCTCTCTTTGTCTATCTCTTTATATATCTTTCCACCTTTCTTTTTCTCTCTCTCTCTCTCTCTCTCTCTCTCTCTCTCTCTCTCTCTCTCTCTCTCTCTCTTCATCTATCTATCTCTATCTATCTATCTATCTATCTATCTATCTATCTATCTATCTATCTTTATCTTTTTCTTTCTTTGTCTCCTCTTTTGTGTGTTTCTGTCGCTCCTCGCCCTTTCTCATGTTTTTTATTTATTTTTTATTTGTCACTTTTTTAATTCGTGAATTAAACTCAGACTTTGTAGTCTGTTTCAGGCTATTTTTTATTATCCTATGATTTTTTATTTTTTATTTTTTAGTCTGTCTCAGTTTATGCGCCGAATGGTCCGCGTCAGGTTGCCTACAACGTCCACACCGCAGACGGTTAGCTAGTCATAATTGTAGTAAAATCAACATGTAAGCGAATGTATACAAACTATTTTTCTACCTCAATACTGCAACAAACGAGGGAGCACTGTTTTTTTGGGCAGAACAACACTATCAGGTACGTACTTCATCCCCTTGACATCTCCGTTTCTCCTCCTTGTCATCTCGTTCCTCTGCTACTAGATTGCCATCTCCCCATCTTTTTTGGTGCGACTTCTCTCTTTTGTTCATCTTCGTCCTTACGTTCTCTCCTTTCCTACATTCGTCTCCTTTGCACGAAGTATTCCTCCCTTGTCGTCGTGTCGTCCTTCCCCCGTTCCCTTTGTGTTCGTTCCCCCATGGCGCTGCTCCCGACGTGTGCCCGTCTCTATCTCTCTCTCTCTCTCTCTCATACACATACACATACACATACACATACAAACCTACATATACACACCTGCACACACGCACACACGCACACACGCACACACTCACAAACACACAAACACACAAACACACACACAAATGAGTAAACGAATATGGCAGTCTATACTTTCATGTTATTGTGGTAGATTCATTCGATTTTGCTATCCTCTCGATGAAAGTCGCGTGAATCTCGCGACGATTTCACACACGCACATACACACATACACAGTTGTTAATATTTTCATGTTCTCGCGATAAATTCATTCGATTTTGCTCATTCTATTGGTGGAAGCAGTTGAAGATCCGTCGTGACTCACACACATACACATATACACACACCCACACATGCATGTAACTAATCTAACAAGTGCGGCAGTGAATATTTCCATATTCTAGCAGTAGATTCATATAATCTTGCTCATCCTATCGATGAAAGTAGTGTGAACATAGCCGCGGGGTTCACGCACTGACACTCATTCACACACACAAACACGCACACACACACACGTGCACGTACACACACACACCTATACAACCATACGCGTGCAATAATGTATATTTCTATATTTTAGTAGTGGATTCATTTTTTTTTTCCTTCCAACCGATGGAAGTAACATGGAGCAAGCTGCGAGATTTGAGACATACCTGTCATACCCGTTTCTTTCTCCCGCTTCCTGGCCACCATCGACATAGCTGCTAATGGAGCTCGATGGTGCAACACGATCGCCGCGAGGTGCAGCATATCGAGACTACAACATATGGGGGATTCGATAGGCACAAACACAGACTTCAACGAAGTTGGTGGATGGCGAGTCCACCTTCACCATGCCACAGGCGGATGCATCACACATCCGGCAAATCTCCACCCTTGCATGCGGTAAGCAGCGGGCGATCGGGAGCCAATCATCACAAAAGGATGAATGAAGGTGAACGCAACGATCCACAAGGCAGCGCCATGGCATAGGAAAGCTCCGACAGTCGCCACTACCGCTGGCGACGCACGAGCTGTCGTGAAAACTCTCCGAAAGAGACGACTAGAGGACCAATTGATGCTGCAAAATGTTTTGTCGACCACCAGAAAATGACTTGCCCGCCCCTAGCAAGCTAGGAACCATCCAAAGCATGAGCAGAGAGTCCCTCGTATCTCAAGTACAAAGTCCCAAAATCCACGCCCGGATCATCGCCATCATCGACTGCAAGGTAGGTGTGTATCCTCTCCTCTCCCTTCCCTTTCTTCTTCTTCTTCTTCTTTTTCTTTTTCTTTTTCTTCTTCTTTTTCTTCTTCTTTTTCTTTTTCTTTTTCTTCTTTTTCTTCTTTTTCTTCTTCTTCTTCTTCTTCTTCTTCTTCTTCTTCTTCTTCTTCCTTCCCCTTGCACACCTCCTTCTTCCGTGCAACCACCTTCCCTCCTCCGCGCATTCCTTTTCCGTATCACCCGATACTTCGTCTTCTTTTTTTCCTGCGTTCGCTTCCTTCGCGCGTTCCCTTCTTCCAACCTGCGCACTCATCCTCTTCCTTGTGCCCGCACGTCATCCTTTCCCGGTGCACGTACGTCATCTTTCTTGTCGACATATTCCTATCTTGCGCCACGTATTGCGCTCTGTCTCTTCTTCTTTCCTCGCTATTGAACACGTCATGCCCCTCGATAACATCGCCTTGCTGGTAGCCAGGTTTAACTGGGTAGAAATCGAGCTGGGCAGTCACCGTTGGTTGTGTTGAGAATGAATTTGCCCTGATATCGGGGCAGTTCCATTAAGGTATTTTTAATAAGGTGAGCCGTGAAAACCAAAAGAAAAAGAAAAAGCTCAACACAAAATTACAAAGAATGAAAATTAAAAAATGGAAAAAATAAAATATAGAATAAAAAAACTAACAAAATCTAACAATTAGTTGCCCTAACCTGTCAAGTGTCGGACCTGCTATATATATTTATTTATTGGTTGATTGATTTTGTATAAGTCATTGCTTGATTGATTGATTTATTGATTGATTAATTTTTTGATTAATTGATTTTTTGATTGATTGATTTATTGATTGATTGATTTATTGATTGATTGATTTTTTGATTGATTGATTGATTGATCGATTGATTGATTGATTGGTGGTGGAGGGGAAGACCCCTCCCCCACCCCCCCGGCATACGCACAATCACACACACATACAAATGCAAATGGAAATGCCTTAATGGAACTGCCCCGATATCCGGGCTATAACGCCCACGCCGCGGCCTGGCCATGCAGACGTAGCCACTTCCTCTCTTCTCTCCTTGTCCATCTGGGCTTAATCCCATACCTTTCGCACAGGCATGCATGCTATAAATTTCGCAAGCGTGATTAGTATCCTCTGTAAGAATTTCGAAGTTAGCGCGATCAGTGAGAGTCGGCTAACGAGCAAGTTGGAAGGTGAGTGAGTGTAAGAGTTCGGCGATCCGATGAGCTGGTGCCAAGTATGCGGGGTTGACGTGTAGGCCACAACGGACTATGGCGCACGGACGAACCTGACGGTTGTATGCGGGCTAAGCAGGGTGACAACTCTATGTGGATACGCAACCACGGACTGCCGGTACCGTGGGTTTGTTATGGTTCTCGCATTTGGTCGAGTTAACGATCCGGTCGATTTCTTTTAACTGCATTGGGATAGGACGTGTGACAATTTTCGGTATCGTGCAGACAATGAAATCGTTCTCCCGAATATTTGTCAATCGTTAGTCTTATTTCATTTTGACCGAATTTTGCAAGAGTCTAGAGAAAACATATGTCAGTTCTGCCTTTATTATCCAATGTCTGACAAGGAAACAATTGATAAGAACATAAGGAGACATTACGAGAACCGAACGGTATTGTCCATTCTAAACGAGGAGTTGTCGAATGATCCGATTCAAATGCAACACATATATGACTCTAATTTTCAACGTCTCGGTCACGCCATCGAGTGTTGCTGGAAACAATCGTTCGGACTGTGCAAGAAAAAATACCGTTGCATGCTTTTGCCGATGCACCAACTGGAACATGAAATATTTTTTGCATTGAAACGATTTTGGTAGGCATCATGTCTCATTCTGCCATTGGACTGACCGTGGCGTCCAGTGGCATAGTTGCGACTCTTCTTACAGGGGGTCGAATGTTTCACTCATGATTTCACGCAACTTTAAAACCTAATAACACACATCCCTTCTTAATTCCGAAACAAAGTGATCTTATAGAGTTTATCCGTCATGTCAGCTTTGATTGTTTGGGACGAGGCTCCGGTGAGTAACAAGTTTCACTTGGAAGCTTTTGACATTACACTTTGGGACCTCTGTAACAATGATGAGCCGTTTGGTGAGAAAGTTCAACTTCTTGCTGGGGAATTTAGACATGTTTGCTCGTTGTGAAAGACGTTTCGTGAGCTCAACAAATTGATGCGTCCATCAAAATGTCTCTTTTGTGGAAACGTTTTGAGGTTCATCAACTACTCAAAATATGTTAATCTTAAACCACCAGTCCCCCGCCGCCGAAAACCCTAGTCCCTTTGAGTTAGGTCGGGTTCTACGGAGGGGCGGCGACCTTTTCCTTTGGTCAC